AGCCAGCCTGTGGAGCCTGTGGTAGTGACTGTGTCTTGGGGAAAGTCTGATGCCCTGCTAATATTCACAAAGTTAAGGAAGAGCTTTTGACAATGGCCTGCGCCTACTACACCATTGTGCTACTTGTCAGCTGTTACATTCTGGCCCAGAAATGTCATTTATTACTCATGGTTGGAAAATAAGAGAACAAATAAAGCCCCAGTAGTAACATTCTGATGATCACAGTGACAGTGTTTATATTTTAGCTCAAACATGTACCATAGGCTCTTACTGAAAAAATGACAATTATACATATTGTAGTCCATACTGTTAAACTGAAAGATGTGAAGGCCAATACAGAAACAAAACACAAGGCAACTTTGCATGCCGACTGGACTAGATTTCGATTTATGCTGTACTCTCATTGTCCCTCTAATCACTCAATGAATTGTGTTCTAGGGAAGTGTTACAAAGTCTCAGAGTTACTAAAAGCAGATACCATAGCAAGGTTGCCACTGTATGCGACTGAAGGCTGTCATCTTTCCAGTTTTGTTATTCAACTTGGCAAATTCTTATTGCCGTCCCAACCCCGGAATAAAGACACGAGACAGTATTATGGGTTAAATATAGGCCACACTTTATTGATAACATCCAAATATGAAATTTGCCATCCTTTGGCAAAAGAGGGGGCCTGCTGTAGTGCAGAAACAGGTGAAAGGCAGGGGTATGCCTATACCCCTTGATCAATACATAGGTGAGTCCCTGGCCCCAAGTTCCAGTGGTCACTAGGCAGCAGGAACCCAGCCAGCCACTATTAAAAACCCCCAGACCTCAAGACATTTTTAGCTGATGACTGTTGGTCCGGAAGTGGCCCAGCGCATCTTCCCTCCACAGGCACTGTAATCGCATGATCCGCAGTGCCAGGAGGTCAGATGCACTGTTGGCCTACTTGAGATTACAATTGGGACACTACGAAAATACCTGTTATTTCTGCACTACCCACTAGTGTGACCAAAAATCCTTCCCACCAAAATGCCAACAACCCTCTTCCAGTGTGGGATAGGCAAAAAATCCCCCCATCCGAGACCAATCAGGATGAAGGTCAAAAATTCCTATCCAACCCCTTAAAGGCGACCTGAAAAACTCACACTAGAAATAGGGAGGGCAGGTGGGTGCACGAAAAAGAAGAGGACGATGTGGGGGTGGAAACTATTTCCTTGCTTTTCATCATCATTAACGACGTACACAGCAGGATACAGTCTCACGTGCAACATGTAGACAATTATCTAGCCTAACATTACCTGATCTTTTGTATCACACTCATTCCCAAACTCAAGTAATTTGCCTCCTGGCAGATAATGGCTTTTATCCAATGTTGTCACTCTTCTAACGAAAGGATTTTATATTGACGGAAGGAGTGTTGCACTAAAGAAAATATCCCTTCCATGAATGGAAGCTCCTTTAATTCACAGTTGGATTCAGCCCAATACAGAGAATGAATGGAGCAAAATAAAAAGCTGCTGTATAATTTACATTTGAACCAAGTCCAGATCCTCAAGCTGAAGTGAGTAAGTATGCAAAAAATATTTTGAAATTAATGGTTCAAACATAAATTAATATAGTGACTGCTGAAAGCACCAACTTTTTCTCACTAAACTAGTCTGTAGAGTGGGCAGTATGCATAAATGAAGTGCTTTTGATCACCTTCAGTCAAACCTATTTGCATAGATGTGCATATTGGGTGAGTACCTGAAGCTCTTCTGGCTCCAGTTTATGAGGAAGTGACACAGCTCAGTGATAAAACACCTTCTTTGCATACTAATGTACAAGATTCAATCTCTAATATTTTTATATAGGACTGGAAAAGACTAATATTGGAAAAGTTTTTTTCTGATTGTAGCTCTCAGAATTCTCCAGCCAAAATGGAAAAGATCTGGAGAGCCAACGGCAGTCAATGTAGAAAATACTCAGCTAAGTGGACCGCTTATCTAGGTATGAGGCAACTTCCTGTGTTTACAAGCAGAGTAGCATTAACAACCACCTACATATCAACTAATTTTATACAAAGAACTTAACTAATGTAATAGGGGCAAGCCACAAGATGTGTAAGTATTTCTTAACTCTTGCTGAAATAAAATGCTCCTCTCATCTTCCTCTAGTTCCTTTTATATTTATTGATTGATTGATTGATTGATTGATTGATTTGATTTGATTTGATTTGATTTATATCCCGCCTATCTGGACCACCGGACCATTTGTATATCATGTTTTTAAGTGTTCAGAACATTTCAAGTGCACTATCTCATTGTAAATGTTACAATAACCCTGAAAGGTAAATCAGCATTTGTGGAGAAGGGCAGGTAAGGTGCAAAGAGAGAGGATCATTTTAAGGCCAATATAATGAGTTCATGGCTACAAAGTTCTAGTGGGAATTCCTGGATTCATAGTTCAGGTTCTTTAGTAGCTACACTGTTCTATTTCTCTTAAAACCAAGGAGATGTAAGGACTTAAAATGTATTTTCGCTCTAACAGTTTTCAATACAATTCAAAGGGGTCAACTGTGAAAACATTATGTATGAAAAATAAGATTCATTCCATGTGAATGGAAATTAGATTTTGTTGGAGTTATTATTGTTGTATGCTCCCTTTAATAAGTTTGGTTGGGAGGAACCTTTCTGGGCTGGAGTGATCAATCACCAATTGTTCCTTCCCTGCCTCTAATTTCATAATAGAGCCACACCTCTCTTCAAAATCTGTTAGCAATAAGTGCAGTTAGTATGCAGTTTATCATAGATACAGTTAGAATGTAGTCTGTAGCTGTGTGCCTGTTGTTGTAAGCAGTCATTTCTGTACGGTAAGCTGTTTTTGATCTATTCAACTGTGAGTAAATGACCCTTGAATAAAAGCCAGCCGATAAGTACAGAAAGTTCCATTCAAAAAAACTTTGTAAATTCCAGCTGATTAGAGAAGGGGTAGAGAGATTTGAAGCTAACTCCCTAACTTTTGCTGTGCAGCTAGAGATTTTTAACCAAAATTAAAAACTTTGCAACAAATTTCACCAATAGATTTATATTTGATAAAGTTAAAAAGAATGATTGGTCCTGAGGCCATTTCCATGTACAGGTGCTCTCATGGCCCTTGAAAAAAAGCCAGCCAATAAGTACAGAAAGTTCCATTCAAAAAAACTAGGATCATGGCCACTGGTCCCATCACCTCCTGGCATATTGAAGGGGCAGATATGGAGGCCGTGACAGATTTTACTTTCTTGGGCTCCATGATCACTGCAGATGGTGACAGCAGCCACAAAATTAAAAGATGCCTGCTTCTTGGGAGGAAAGCAATGACAAACCTAGACAGCATCTTAAAAAGCAGAGACATCACCTTGCCAACAAAAGTCCGCATAGTCAAAGCTATGGTTTTTCCAGTAGCAATGTATGGAAGTGAGAGCTCGACCATAAAAACGACTGCCCACCGAAGAATTGCTGCTTTTGAATTGTGGTGGTGGAGGAGGCTCTTGAGAGTCCCCTGGACTGCAAGGAGAACAAACCTATCCGTTCAACTGGAATCCCATGACCTCCACTGGCCTAGTTATTAGCCATGCTTTCTAAGGCCCACTTGACTTCACTCTCCAGGATGTCTGGCTCAAGGTCAGCAGCCACACTAGCTGGGTTGTCCTGGGCATCCAAATCTTTCTGGTATAATTCCTCTGTGTATTCTTGCCACCTCTTCTTGATGTATTTTGCTTCTGTAAGTTCCCTACCATTTTTGTCCTTTATTATTTCCATCATTGCACAAAATGTTCCTTTAATATCTCCAGTTTTCTTGAACAGAACTCTGTTTTTTCCCTTTCTATTATATTCCTCTATATCTTTGCACTGTTCATTTAAGAATGCCCCCTTGTCTCTCCTTGCTATTCTTTGGAAGTCTGCATTCAATTTTCTGTAATGTTCCCTTGCATTTGGTTTACCTTCTCTTCTCTGCTATTTGTAAGGCCTTGCAAGAATGAGACAAGTGAGCTTTTGAACCCATAAAGCCTAAAGTCTTTCAAAAATCCTCAAATTCAAGGTATAACTGTATTCAAGAGCACACTGCAACATATAATTTAATTTACCACCCTCCAAGGCATATTAAATAGTTTTCATTTGTTTAAAATTTTGTACAATGCATCTTTCAGTAGAGACACCTCTGTTCTTAAATCTGGGAATTCAGCAGTGCTGTTTTCAATGTTCCAGATGGTATGTAGCAAGGAAAGACACCTTTTATTGCTCACGAAGAGGGCAAAAAGTTGCTTCCTATCTGATATTAACAAAATACTACAGATACACATAGCTTTATAACCTAACCTGTCCATTTGGTCCAGTCTATATTCCCCCCCTCTCTTAAAGTGTAAATAAAGAAGTAAATGGGATTGTCTAAAGAAGTACTTGGAAGAGATTAAAAACACATTTCGCACTATGTTAAAAGATGTACTTAGCACCACACCGTTATCTCTTAATCCAGCTGCTACAAGATAAGAATAACTTAACATTTACGTAACACTGTGACATAATCTTCCATATATTCTGCCATTCACCATAGAGGGATAACCAAATACAAGCTCTTTTAATCAAGCTCCTGCTTAGATTACTCTACTCATTTGAAGAATGTTTAAAATTCTTGCATATCACTTTTAGCACTTGGTCAGCCATTCCTAATAAACAAGAGGGCTTGAAATGAAGTTTAGCAATACCACTCACAATGTGAAGTCACAAAATATACAGTGGTATCTACAAGTAGATATGGCAGTTTAAATATTTCAGCTCCAGCTCTCAGTTTTAAGTTTTAAACTCTTAACAGTCAGATCTAACACACTGAGCTGGTTGATATTACTACAAAGAAATAGAAAGGTACTCAGATTATAACCATTGTCTCTCAAAATAAATAATTTTTATGAAGTCAATTGCTGGGTAATATTTATGTTCTCACAGAAGCCTGCAAGCTGATTTGAATCCAGAAAATACTCCTCAGAAAAGACCTCTTACCTCTTTCTCCATTTGAAGTCCTTCTGCTCTGATATTTCGTTCAAACACCTCTCTTTTTTCAGTTTGTGGGTTGGATTTTCTGTACACCAAGAGGTAGTCTATCCGACATTTTCCATCCCTAAAATAGAGCCCACTGGATTTATTTTTTTCTGGTATACCCTGCAAAAAAATAAAAAAAATCAAAGTACTATGTATTTTGTTAACTGATATGTGTTCTAATATTATTTATGGTTAAAAGACTTAAGTACAAAAGGTCTAATGTATAAAACTATAACATGTATATATGAGAATCCCTAAACCAGAGAGGCCAGTTTAAGATCAGATAACTTACGTTATCACTCTACAGAGGAGTCTTGTGGAGCAGTGATTAAGCTGTAGTATTGCAGTGGACTCTTAACAGCTGGCTGGAAGTTGACTCAACCTTCCATCCTTCTGAGGAGTGGGTGGGGGGAGAGTGTAGCCCGTATAATTAAATTGTAAACTGCCCAGAGAGTGCAACACACTTTTCCCCCTTTTCCTACAATATCCAGTAAAGTCATCTACCTCTTCAAGTCTTCCCTTGAGACCCCTAACACCAGGGTATGTGGGACAGGGATACCCTACTAAGTTATGGCATCCAGACAGTGGAACTCCTTATTTTGAGAATCTCATGTGATTCCTTCTCTGTTGGTGCTCAGATGTCGCATGCAAATAATTTTGTTTTGCTGTGCTGTGCAGCTGGCAAATATTTTCACTCGAATTTGCCAGCCCTATACTGCTCCAAAACACTTGGAATTGCCAGTCCTATAATGTTTTCCTCTGTACCTTCCATCAGTGGAAAGAAGCTAAGGTACACCAGAAAAGGACATCTTTGATATAGTGTATTCATTTCATATGGATATAATTAGTCTGAAATACACTTATCTTTTCCTACTTATGATATATCCAGTTCCAACAAATGATATTCCTTTACAACAGGGACAGGGAACATGTAGTTCTCTAGGTGTTTTTGGATGGCAGCTCATAGCCAATAGAGTCACTTGAGAGGTTTGACAGGAACTGAAGTCTAACAAGATGCGGAACGTCACATGCTACCCATTCATGCTTTACATCAAGGTCCTTCAAATCACTTTCTCATACTATTTAGGAGAAAGAAGAGTAATGATGTGGAAAGTTGCCATCTCTTTAAACTACTCCATTTTTATAGAACTTTAAATACAAATACTCCAAAATTTACTAGGAGCAAAAATATAACTCATTTTAAATCAGAAAATAAGGTCATATTTCAGATACAACTTATGTATTTTTGTGTATATCCATATTGTGAGGGGCAAAAATCCATGGGTAAATTTATTTTATACTAGCATATGACCTTTAGCTCAATGGAACTTTCTCTTGCCTCTCATGTGCTGCTTATATATGGTCTCATAGTGCTTAACACTCTCTCTGGGTGGTTTACAATTTAATTATGCGGTCTACACATTGTTTGCTCTCCCGGCAAGGTGAGTACTCAATTTACTGACCTCAGAAGTACGGGAAGTTGAGTCAATCACAAGCTGGCTACCTGAGTTCATGATTGAATTCAGGTAATGAGCAGAGTTTTCACTGCAGTACTGCATTTCAAGCACTGTGCCATGAGGCTCTATAGCTTCTCCCCCGACTCATATCAACTGAGAGTCTGCCTGAAGAGATTCCTGGCCTTCCTGAACAGAGTCTGTGGGTATTTTAGAGTTGCAGGAGGGAGGGGAAATTACCACACAGTCCATCTGATAGAGACCCTTGGATGCAGATATGAAAGGCATAGGACTACAACTTTCATATTTCTTTAAAATATTTTTAGCCCACCTTTCTCCTTAAAGAGGTGACTTCCATCTTTTAAAAACAACATTTAAAAGCAAAAACAGTAAGTATACAAATATTTAAAAAGGATCAAACAAATGCCATACTAAAAATCTACCACCATGTTTGCATTTTAAATTTATTTTATTATGTTTTTACTGTGTATTTTTACTGTTACTCATTTGGCATTTTTAATATTTTATTTGGTCTCTTGTTATATATCCTCGTAACTATGTTACCATTATTGTTTGCCTTGTAGTAAACCGCCTGGAGTGGCCTTGGCAGTACATGGGCAGTATAAAAATCAAATCAATCAAATCAAATCAATCAATCAATCAATGAACAAAATCAACACCAAAACACATTCAAAGCAACAAGGCACAACAACCCATTTAAAAACACCTCTCAAATAGCTAGTCAACAAGGAAAAGCTTGCCTGAAGAGAAAAGTATTCATCTGCTTGTGAAAGTCATTTGAATAATAAATCCTATTTATTAATCCATGCACTACACATATTACATGAATGGGGCTGATCCATGTCCTTTTCCCCTGTTAGATAGGCAATCATAAGATGTTTCAGAATTTTTTTTACCATTGTCTGCAGATTCACAACATAGTGAGGACACTTTGACTTGACAAAGCATTAATTTCACAACTATCTCTGAGATGTTATTCTATAGCACACCACTGTAGCATCAGAAATGACTTGCAATTCCATTCACAAATTCAGAAAAAATTTACATATATGAAGTTCTTACCTCCACCACTGCCTCCAGTCTGCTAGTATCATCTGAAGTACTAGTCAAGTTACCATGGTGAATCAAAGAATCATCATCTTTGGAAGGACTGTTTATGCCTTCTAATTCATCAAAGAAAATATTGACATCCTTGGCTACTAAAAAAAAAGCCAACAAAAAAGTTAAAACACTTGATGTTGTAATCAATTTTGGGAGAGGGACACTGTTCATCATAATAACAAAAAGCGTGTAGAATAAAATTATCAATTCTGTGCATTTAGTAAACTCCAAAATACAATAACAATGATTTGAAAAGGGAAGATTTAAGATCATGGGGAGTGTTAATTGATGTACGCCTTTTTCACATTAACCTACAATCTTCCATGTTCTTGGTATGTCAGGAGAACTTCATAGTTCCCTAATCAAATGGTGGACTTCCACTCTGAGTTATTCTTTCCCATAAGAGCCCTCTGTAATTCAGAAGAGTTAATAAAGATTTTCCTCTGAGTGCTGTAGAACAAAACATTATGAAAAATGAACATTTGGGAAAGAAAACCATGCCACCTACTTCTTGTATCTGACAAATATGTTGTACTATTTACATTTAAATGTATTGTTCCTATTGACTCTATTTAAAAGATGTAATTGTTGCATTGTAATACTTTTATTCACTTTAGAAAAGAAAACTACAAAGAAAGACTTGGCATACCTAGAGGTATGTTTGTTTTTCAGAATCTATTTTGTCAGTATTTATTATAGTACCAGTATGACATTTCTCCTCCATGCAGCTCTCCATGACTCCTAACAATTATCTGGGGTGGGGGTTCTGAGCCCCTTTTCTAGACAGTTTGGCCATGCCAGTGGCTGCAAGACATGGAAATGCCTTCTGCTGTTTCCACTGGGTTCCACCTACACATGCCCTGGGTAACACACTATCCTAATTGTCCCAGTGTATTCTAGGAAAGTAAAACTAGTAGCCAATAGCAGCTGTAAAAGAGGCCTGCAAAATTTGTCCTCAGTATCTCAAAGGTGTCTTATTTTTGCTTGTTCAGAAATGCTGAGGAAATTTTTTACTTTTATCAAACCTATATACATTTTTCATATGAGAAGTAAATTAAGCATATTTCAAAATTTACAAAAGAAAAAAAAATCAAGGTTATGTTTAAAAAGGGCCCAAGGAATTCAGTATTTAACTTTTAAAAACATCTGTTGTAAAATCAACACTTTCTGCGTTGGACAAACAACTGCATGACAAACTGCACTCAAGAAATCTGAGGAACTAAAGAAAATGATGAACATCTACTAACCCACTGACATAAGAGCCAAAATATATATATTAGTGCAATCAGTAGAGCATTCTGACTGTTATGCACGTGTAACTCCAGATAAGGATGTTCTACACAGCACACATAAAGCTAAACACTGGATGTCAGCCAAAGGCCAGCCTCATCTCAGACTGTCAGTGCTCCAGGATATATTTTTGAATGCGGCTGCCCACACTCTATTCCTTAGGGCACCTGTTGTTTCAAAAAGGAGTCTGGCTTTAATTATGTTACTGCCTTGTAGCATTATCATTTGGAAATTAATAAAAGCAGTGTGGTGCTTGGTAGATTCATCCATTTATAGGCACCAAATGCTAAGTTGCTTATAGAGTGCATTTTTGTGCTGAGGGAAAGCTTTATAAAGTGCATGAAACAAAGAGAAAATTGGTAGTCTTATCAGACATTTCACAGAAATCAGGTGTTATAGGTCTGGTAAATGGGATTGTTGAACTTACATGGAACTATGCTTTTGATGTGTTATGTTAGTGTCTCTACTTATTCTTGCTTTATATTCCATGTATTTTCTAGTTTAAGAGAAGAATTTAAGTCTGGTGTCAGAGCGATTCATTACTATTTTATATTACTGTGGAAGTCTATGTCTTGGTGAGAGCCTTGGCAAAGCCTACTTTTGTGACAGTTAGAATAAGGACCCGACTATGCTCAGTTAATGCCCAGTCTAGAGCTTTTAAAATACAGATGACATATCTTGTGTGAACTTTCATCCTGAAACATAAAAATGTGTCACACATCCCTAGAGGCAAATGTCGGGAAGTGCTTTATTCACCTCTATTTCATCCAACATAATTTGGGTGTTTCAGAGGTTTGCCTTGGGCAGAAATGCTGATACATTACATATTCTTCACACCAAGTTCCAACACAATTTTTTCATTGCCACGGTCTTGCAACAGTTCTCGTTGCATGACATTTTCAGCATACAAACTTTTCCTCATTATGCAGATACTGATATTCAAGAACATTTTCAGATTATGAACTGCTGTATCAATAAATTAATTAAACCAAGTACAGTATGCCCATGGGTAAAGAACAAACCATTATGAGGAACATAGCACATAAAATAAAAGTTTGTAAGAGGGCAGTTTACTGGCATTATAATCTTTTGTGTAAAGCTGAAACTGAATTACTTCAAAAGGCTAAAAATTGTGAAAGTATTTGGAGTCAATTTCATAACATTTGAGAACAGATGTATATTGGTAAAGGAAAAAGAATTAATTTCTGAACATTAGAATCCTAAACCTAAGAAGCTAGCTACTCAATTCAAATTAACACATAAAAGTCAGACACCAACCTCCTGATTCTGATTGTTACTCTTTCAAGCTTCAAGTGATAGACAAAACCTCCAATTTCTATCAGCGTCACATTCTAGATAAAAAACCCATTCCCTCTTGGCTACACAGTTCATAATCCCTAGAATTTCAAACTCTTCTGTTTATATTATTCTTTTGACCCTACATCTAGTGTGAAGTTTTGCCTCACCACATTTTCCCTTGATTGCTCTTTTCCACTCACCAACAACTGTCTTGTTACATTCCTGCTTTTAATCATTAATTTATTGGCCAGTTAACCTACATCTCACATCTCATTCACTCTAATAAGAGTTTACATGTTCTCCTGATTCCGAGAACTATGGTGCTTCTTCACAGTTTCTGTTTCATACTACAAGTACCTCTTTCCATGCCTCCTCCTTCCTCCATCTCTTTCACTGTTCATTACTTGCTCTCTGCACTTTCTCTTTTTTTAAAGTAATCATGTCTCTGGGCTCCTTATCTTTTAGTTTCTGTAGCTTCTGGACTATTCCCCAGTCTCCAGTGCACCAAACTATCACTTGTGTAAGGTTTTAGTCCTAGTCAGACTGACAAAACTGACCCCTCTCTCCCCTTATACTTTGTTCTCTCAGTAAAGACTATTCATGTTCTTTACTCTCGGTAGTTCAAAGTCCTCACTTGACTGTTCTATAATCATAAGCACAGTAAAACTGTAAAGGGCTTGCCAACTTACCTTTTGGATGTGCCAAAAGATGAATCACAAACAATAATTTAATGGGACTAATGATCCAACTAGACCGTTACAATGAGGAGCTACAGCTCAGTGATTGAGAGAAAACAGATCTATAGCCACATATTTAGAGGTGCATCATGACACATCAATTTTTCCTTATAGTCTTAATTCACTATAATAATATTAGCATACATCCTTCCTATCTAAATCCAAGGAAATTGTTCTGTTTCTAAATCAGTTTGTGGTTATAGTGATGAACTGGATGAAGGCAAATACTGTATATTGATGCTTATTCCATGTAAAACAGAGGTGTTCCTGATGGGTCAAAAGGCACTGAGAGAATAGGGATTCAGCCTGAGGTAGATAAGATTACAATCCCATTGAAGGCTCAAGGGTGAAGTGTGGGTGTGGATTCTGTGCTGTACCTGAACTCCTGGGTTTTGCTGGTGACCAGAGGTATGTTTCTGCAGTTACAGCTAGTTATGCCAAAGTTGCCTATTCCTGGAGATGCTGCAACTAGACACAGAGGCACATGCCTTAGTTTTGGGACTACTATAACATGTTCTCTTTGCAAATGCATTTGAAAAGTGTTTTGAAACTTTACATGGTTCCAGATTGTTGACCAACAGGAGCAGATATAACTTCCCTGGTGCAATTGTTTCCCTGTCTGTTTCCAGGCACTATTTAAAGTCCTGGTTCTGACATGTAAAATGTTATACATTCCAGGACCAGGAAAATGTTATACATCCTGGGAAATCACAAATCTGATTCATAATACCCAAACACAGTCACACCTCCGATTCTTTAAAGAATTCCACTGCCAGATCAGAACTGAACCATGGGTGTGTTCTACTAAAAAAACATTCCGTGATGTCTTCAGTTTCCTCCTTTTGCCTTTGAGAACATCTCATAGGTCATCAATGAGAACATTGATGGCAGGCCTTTGAGAACTGGCCTGCCATAAAGAAATGGTTGCAGCACAAATCCCCAGTGATGTGTCCTGTGTAATATGCTGAGCACACTGAACTAACCTTTCAGCTCTTATGGATGCTGACTCTGATATCCTGGCTGAGGGGATCAAGCAAAAGTTTTCAGCGTGCACCAGAACAGCACTTCTCTCTATTGCTACATGGCAATAACACCAGAAATATTTTTAGAAGACCCAGTTACAGCAAAAACATGATTTAAAATGGAAACTGCCTTGCTTTTGCTTTACACTGGGAACATTTTAATGTTATGCTCTTCCAAAATCTTCTTTGTGCCTATAGCTATAACTACTTCACCCATTCCAGTGCTCTGAATCAACATGCCCAAAATGCTAAATTCTGTTGACATTAACAATATTTGGGTAAAGACAAGGGAAAGATGAAGCGGAAATACTTCTAAAATGATAAATAGTATGCTGTAAGTAATTCAGTAGCAGGAGAGGAATAAGAATAAGAATAAGAATAAGAATAAGAATAAGAAGAAGAAGAAGAAGAAGAAGAAGAAGAAGAAGAAGAAGAAGAAGAAGAAGAAGAAGAAGAAGAAGAAGAAGAAGAAAGACATGCTCTGAAACCAGGAGAATGAAGTCCAAAACATATGGTGGTCAGGTTATATTGCTTAAGATTTCAAGTCTAAAGCCTAAGATCTGCAGGAATCTCAGGACCAAAACCAGAAACCCCTTCGTTGATGACCCTTGAGCCCTGATCCCTACTGATCTTTGCTCATGCCAGAATTCCTGAAGGCTGTGATGAAACATCAGCTGCAGGGTAGGAAGACTGCATTATACTAGACAACTCCTGCAGCTTGTTGTTTAGATAATTGCTGTGGGATGAGCT